ATGGCTCAGCTGGTGAGAGCTCACACTCTTAACAACAAAGTTGCCGGTTTGATTCTCACATGGGATGGTGGGCTGTGCACCCCTCTTCTCCCCACCACAAGTAGAAAAACGGCGACCAGACTTGGAGCTGAGCTGCACCCTCCACAACTAGACTGAAGACAACTACTTGACTTGGAGCTGACGGGTCCTGGAAAAACACACTGTTCCCCAATAAAATTTCTTAAAAAAAAATAGTGAAAAAACAAAAAAAGGGAAATCACAAATCACAAGAGCCTGGAAAGTCTGCTCTAATTTAAATTTCTGAGGTGTGTTTTACGACCCAGAATACAGTCTATCCTGATGAATGTTCCACGTTCACTTGTAAAGAACGGGTCCTCAGCTATTGTTGGGTGGAATGTCCTGAATTAGATCACGCTTGTTGATAGTGTTGCTTAGTTCTATATCCTGGTTCGTTTTCTGTCACTACTCTATTCCTAAGAGGTGCTCAAGTCTCCAGCTGTAACTGTGGCTTTCTGTATTTTTTCTTTCAGTTGTGTCAGTTTTTGCTTTGTGTACTAAAGCTCCTGTTTAGGTGCACACACATTTAGGATTGCTGTGTCTTCTTCGTGAACTGACCCTTTTTCCGTATGCAAAGTCTCTCTTTATCCCTGGTTATTTCTTTGCTCAGACTACTTTGATATTAATATAACCACGTCAAATTTCTTTGGATTAGTGTTCCATGGTGTGTCTTTTTCCATCCTTTTACTTTTTACCTTCCTATATCATTCATTTTATACTGCATTTCTTAAAGACAACATGCAATTGACTCATGATTTTTTCTCCATTCCAATTTGTCTTTTAGTTGTAAGATAATTTTTTTTTAACTTATAAGAGTTTACTTATTTGAGCCAAACTGACAACAATTGCCAGAAAGCAAAATCTCAAGACTGAGAAAATGCTCCCAATATGTGAGATAATTTCCATTTAATATAATTACTGATACATTGTGATTTAGGTTTATGATTGTATTTGTTTTCTATTTGTTCCTTGTTTTTCCTTCTTCTGTTTCCCCTTTCTTGCTTTCCTGTGAGTTGTTTGAACATTTTTTAAAATTCCATTTTGAAATGTCTATAGTGATTTTTTTTTCTTTAATTGGGGAACAGTGTGTTTTTCCAGAACCCATCCGCTCCAAGTCAAGTAATTGTTTCAATCTAGTTGTGGAGGGCGTATATCAGTGGCCCATGTGAGATCGAACTGGCAACCTTGGTGTTATGAGCCTGCGCTCTAACCAACTGAGTTAACCAGCCGCCCCACAGTGATTTTTACTATACCATGTTATACAGGTTTGTTTTTGTTTTTTTAAGTGGTTGCTCTAGGGAGTACCTACCCTCCCCCCACCCCCTGCAACATGTACACACTTCACATTTCAAAATATATTTAGACTCAGTGTTTTATGTCTCCAAGTAGAATGTAGAAACCTTACCACCATATATGTCCCTTACTCTCCCCTTTCATATTATAGTTGTCTTATATATTATTACATCTATGTACATTAAAAACTCAATTTTAAAAAAATTTTGCTTCCTGTCAAATATATTTTAAAGAACTCAAGAAGAGAAAAACAGCCTATTGTATTTATCCAGATTTTACTATTTTTCATTTATTATTGATGTTCCAAGTTTCTTTCGTGTATCACTTCCTTTTTGTCTGAAGAACTTCCTGAAGCAATGATTTTAGAGCAGGTCTGCTGGAAATGAATCCCTTAGTTTTCATTCATTTGAGAATATTTTTATTTCGCCTTCTTTCCTGATAGATATTCTCACTGATTAAAGAATTCTTAGGTGCCGGCCGAGTGGCCAAGTTGGTAAAAGCGCGAGCTCTGAACAACAGGGCTGCCAGTTCGATTCCCACATGTGCCAGTAAGCTACACCCTCCCTATAGCTAAGATTGTAAAAAACAGCTTGACCTGGAGTTAGGCTGCCATGAGTCGCCGGAGACGGCATAGGCTGCAGTGGAGCTGCAGTGGGCTGCCGTAAGGTACCGTGAGTGGCCGGCAGCCAGCGTGAGCGGCCGGCAGCCAGTGTGAGCTGCCGTGAGCCGCCATCCAATGGCTGGCGACTGATCGCCTCAGCCAGGAAGAGCGCAGTGATCATAATACCAACATGGACCAGTGAAGCGGCGTCCTCCACAACTAGACTGAAGAACAAAAGGACAACTTGGCTGTTCCCCTCCCCCAATTTCCCAATAAAATCTTAAAAAAAAAATTCTTAGTTGACAGCTCTTTTATTTCAGTATGTTAAAACTGTTCAGGCCAGCCAAGTAGCTCAGTTGGTTAAGAGCTCGCTCAAGAGTGCGAGCTCTGAGCAACAGGATTGCTGGTTCAATTCCCAGCCTGAGCTGAGCTTCCAACAGGTGGTAGGATGGCTCAGCTAAAGAAAAAAAAAAAGAATTCATAAAACTGTTGTACCACTGTCTTCTAGCCTCCATGGTCTCTGATGAGAAATCTGTAGTCATTCAAATCATAGTTCCTCACAAGTACTGTGTCATTTTTCTCTGGCTACTTTTAAGACTTTTATTTGTCTTTAGTTTTTAGCAGTTTGATTATGCTGTGTCTGGGTAGGGATTTCTTTGGTTTATCCTGTTAGGAATGCATTATTGGATTCAAAGTCTTCCGTGTTAAGTGTTTGAAGTATTTGAGAGATTTTAGAAACATTACTTCATAACTACAATTGTAAAGATCAACTACATAGCTGAAACTAATTCTGAAAAATGTGTATTTCATAATAAAAAATAATTAAAAAAAAAATCAACTACGTAATGGTCTTAAATGTTTGAGGAATTTGATCCAGCAAATCCCTAAGATATTAATCAAAGAAAAGAAATAGCAGTTTCAATTTTTATACAAAAATATTAATATAAACTCTAGAGCCAATCTGCTCAAGTTCAGACAATGGTGTCACCATTTACTAACCTTGGGCAAATTCCAAGGTTAACCTTGCCTGACCTTGTGCAAGTCCTTTTAACCTCTCTGTGCCTCAGTTGTCTACCTGGTAAAATGGGGATGAAAATAGTAACATCAACCTCATAGTTTCCGTGAGGATAAAATGAGTTAATATATGTAAAGGTTAGAGAGATGCCTGGCATATAGTAAGTGCTATAATGCAAGCTAACCATTTTTGTTATTTTAAATTGAGTACAGAGGCTTAAGAAAAACTAAGTTTAAATAAAGACTATAATTAAAGTTGAACGTTGACTAAATACAGATATTTGGAAAAATTCCTCTCTCTTTTTTTTAATAATCTCTTTTTTTTTTTGAGATTTTTATTGGGGAATTGGGGGGATGGGAACAGAGAAGTTGCTGTTGTTTTGTTCTTCAGTCTAGTTGTGGAGGACGTTGCTTCACTGGCCCAAGTTGGCACCATCATTGCGCTCTTCCCGGGCGAGGCAGATCAGTCGCCGGCTTATGGACGGCCGCTCACTGCGGCTGCTGGCCGCTCACGCTGGCTGCTGGCTACACATGGTAGCCCATGGCAACCCACTGCCACAGGGGCTGCAGCCCACGCCATCGCCTGCGACTCACGGCAGCCCAGCTCCAGGTTGAGCTGTTGTTCAGCATCTTAGCTGTGGAGGGCAGTGTCACTGGCCCTCATATGTGGGATCCGAACTGGGGCCCTCTGGCGTCCCAAGCCAGTTCTTAACCATCGCACCACTCGGCCGGCCCTGGAAAAATTTCTCTTAAACAAAAAAGCCTTGTCTTAGTCTGTAAAACTCCACTAACCACCGAGTACAGCCCCCACAAGGCCATGAGGTAGGAGCCATGATTCATTCACTTTTGAGTCACTCTAGAAAACAAACACATATTAAATAAAGCACAGATACTAACTAAATGGGTGAATTCAATGATGGTCCACCACCACTCGGTGCCCCCCAACATCTACAATACACAGAAATGCCCAAGTCAACCAGTGCAGAACAGAGGTCAAGTGGGATGTCCTTAGCAGTGTTCTCTGGAAGTGATCTTATTTCATGTACATGTTCTGGCATCCAGTCAGTACGGATACTAGTCCTTTCTTCATAATAAGTTCAACAGAATAACTAGAGATTACTCAAGTAAGTCTATCAAGGTACTCTGAGAAACAAAACACTTAGAAAAAACATCTACTTCCAAAGTTTCTACTAAGTAGTCAACACTAAAATGTTCTCTTTTAAACTGAGGCTACATTTTTGGAGGCAGGAAAAACAAGTTAAAAACAGCAATGTTTTGGGCCAGCCCGAGGGTTTCAGTTGGTTAAGAGTTAGATTGAGAGCGCAAGTTCTGAGCAATAGGGCCACTGGTTCGATTTCCACATGGGCCAGTGATGCTGTGCCCAAGCTGAGCTGCCACTGAGCTGCTATCAGGTGACAGGATGGCTCAGCTGGTGAGAGCACATGCTCCTAATGACAAGACTGCCTGTTCGATGGTGGGCTATGCCCGCCCACAACTAAGACTGAACTCGGCAGTTTGAGCTGAGCTGCCACCCAGATGGCTCACTGGACAGAGCATGTGCCCTTAACAACAAGGCTGCCAGTTCGACTCCCGCATGGGATGGTGGCTATGACCACCCGCAACTAAGTTTGAACACAGCACCTTGAGCTTAGAGGCCACGAGCTGCTGATGGGCAGCCAGATGGTGACTGGAGCCCTCCACAATGAAGACTGAAGAACAACAACTTGGCTGGTCCCCTGCCCCAATTCCCCAACACTGTTCCCCTCCTCCAATTCCCCATAAAAAAAAAAAAGTTCATTCCTTTAAAAAAAAAAAGAAGTGGTTTTTTAAAAAGACAACAAAAAAACCCCAGCAGTGTTTTTAACGATATTCCACCTCAATTACATATGCTTTTTAGGTACTGTATAGGTGACAGATTAAGGCCGTGTTCTAGCAAATTGGACGTAAGTTACAGCACGCCGGAACTCACGAGCATGTTAAACATTAGCCATGGCTCGTGCACGCGCACTGTGGTGTAGAGGAAAGCAAGACTCACCTCAAAGCTGTACTTTTTCATCTGGTTGAAGTGCCGGCAGTACAGATAGATCATGCCAATGCTGCTGCCCACGGCAATGTAGTCCCCGCTGGTGTCCAGGGCTGTGAGGTAGACCAGCACGGAGCGGAAGCCCTTCTGGATCTTTGTAGGGATGGCATTGAGGAGATAGTACAGAGGGCAGAACTCTCTGAATGTAACAGGCTCTGACACGGATGCCATGGTCAAGGTCTCCACAGAGGATCCACAGGCCAGAAATGGAATTTTTATCTGGGAAACCTGAGGGCTAAAGAACAGGCATTGTAATCCTTCCAACGTCTCGTCATGGCACAGAGAAGTCATGTGTAACGGGGAACAAGGAACTTTCAGGTGGGTAAATATTATAGCTGGGGCTTAATTACAAAGAGAAAGTGAACCAGGTGTCATTCAGATCACTTTGGAGCATTTTTATTCAAAATACACTTCAATATTACTGGGCCCTGTAATTTATATCGTGATAAATACTAGGGAGGGGCGGAAGGGACATTCAAAACAATTCTTATTTTCAAGTAGCGGATCTAGCCAGGGAGGCAAAAGAAGCCGTGAAAATATACCAAACCACGTGTGATTAGGTGCGAATCTGCGGGTCCTGATGAGAAGAGGAAGGCAGCGGTGTGGATTCGTGAGGAAAAGGCTTTACTGGAAACATCCTGCAGGACAGAATGTGGAAAAGAGAAATAGGAAAGACAGCTGCTCTAGAACAGCGAAACAGTCCCAGACACAGCAATACTTTGAGACGATGGTCCCCTGGCCAGAGGCCCACAGTGTCCTCAGAGCCCAGGGCCTCAGCGGCACAGTGCCCGTCACCTGTTCCTCAGAGACCATGCCTCTTAGCACTCTGGATTCAGAACTTGCCTCAGTCGGTACTCAATCTTTACACAGCACATTATAATTTACAAAGAGCTCACTCACTCACTTATTCAGTCCTTACCCTACCCTGTAACATAAATGGTAGCGTTGTCCCCAACTTTTAGATGAAGGTATTGAAGGCCAGAGGCTCACGCGTCTGGCCCAAGACCACACAGCTGAGACCTGAATCTGGGTCTGCTCCCTCCAAGTCCTGGGCCCTTTCCAAAGTCAGTCACAACGCTGACAGACAAGCACAGGTGGATGTCTGCACCTGATTCGATCTGGAGGGACATTTTAACCCTTTAGGTCCATGGGGATTTCAAGGCCCTCTAGTTGAAACTTCTTGGTTTGCTGAATTTATGGTCTGTTTTAACTGTGGGTTTTCTATTTCTACAGAGCTGAATGACCGACTTCCAAGCCCTCTTCTAATGAAATTCACTCAGAAGCCCTTGCCCTGGCTGTTCCTTCGTTGGAATGCTCTTTTTCCAGGTGTCACTCAGCTCTTGGTCTTCTCAACATGTAGGTCTCTGCTAGAACGTCCCCTCGTCCCCAAGGCCTTACCTGGCCACCCCTAAAGTGGCCTCTCTGCCCCAGAGCACCCTCTCACACCCCTTCTTTCTTTTCTGTTGACTCATCATCATCTCTCCCTGACCCCCTCGACATCCCTGGTCTATAAGCCCCACAGGAGCAGAGCCCACATCTGCCTTACTCACTCCTCTACCCCTTGGCACCTAGAAAAGGGTCAGGCACATCAGAGACGCTCAGGGAGTATTTACTGAATAAATGAATGAGTTGTAAAAAAGGAAAATTTGCAAGGAATTAATGACATGAACAGAAGAGCAGCAAAATTATCATCTTTTCTCCAATATGGCCCCAATTCAATGCGGGAATAATAATCCCCCTGGATCTGTAAGCATATGCAGTTTTCCAAGAATTTTCAGATTCCTATCTCGTTTGGTGGTCACAATAGCCAACACAGGGAGATAAGCGGGGTAACTTCAGAGAACTTTTCTACAGCTGACAATAATCATCATATCCCTCTGTGATGGTTAAGAACACTGACCAACACACCCTCTTCTAGCAGAAGTTGAAGCTCTGGGAGGTTCAGAAATTTGCCCAAGATCACAGTTTTAAGTGCCTAATGCAACAGAAATCGGGATGGTGAATTCCGGTCGTGTCCATACAGCAGCACAGTTCATAAATGTATAACTTTTTAAGAGCAAGACCAATTCTTGGTTTGTGCAAGTATTCCAAAAAGGTGGGCAAGACCTACATGACCCAGAAATCAAATGACAGTGAAATGGCTATCAGAGCCGCTGGCAGACACCCTGGGAAAGCACGTAAGTCATTTAAGGTCACGGAACACTAAAACCTAAATAACAACAATAATATAATAGCGGTAATAGTTAACACTATTACTTAATAGAAACTGTCCTTGTACACTAACTCATTAAATCACAAAACACCTATGTGATAAGCCCCACTGCTATCTCCATCCTACAGACAAGGAAACTGCTCCCATTTCAACAATCTCAATCCAATTTTTAAAGTCAATAACGCTTCCTTGTTCACAAATATTTCCATTAAAAATACAAAACACCACTCCACAACAGTCCTCCTCAGGTCAGGAGCCTTCCCCCCTCGTTAGTACCATCGACCCCTTACACCGGGAAGGTGGCAGCTCACCATGCTGAATGAAGCACCCTAGGGCCATCTGGCAGGCAGTTTTCCAAAACTGGAGCTAAGACTAATAAAATCTAGTCCTAATCATTCACTCAGCAGTTCAGTGACCATAAGTTGCCAGAGCACTCTGAGAACTCTAATGGTTTAAGGATTCTCTCCAAAAACTCTAGGAAGTGACAATTAGAATCCTGGTTGTGTAATCTATTTTTAAAATTTGGCTATAACACCTATTATTCTTTTAAGTGTTAAAATCTTATGGCTGAATATAATGAGATTGAGGCAGCCTTTCATCTTCCAGATGAAATTTTGTCACTTCCCTGGTCCCATGCCTGCTGGCTAGCCACTGCTCACAGGCTAAAGCCCGAAGAAAGCACGGAAGTAGAACATTTTTTTTTTTTTTAAGATTTTTATTGGGAAATTGGGGGGATGGGAACAGTGCTGGGGAATTGGGGAAAGGGGAACAGACAAGTTGCTGTCGTTTTGTTCTTCAGTCTAGTTGTGGAGGACGTTGCTTCACTGGCCCAAGTTGGCACCATCATTGCGCTCTTCTCTGGCGAGGCAGATCAGTCGCCGGCTTCTGGACGGCCGCTCACTGCGGCTGCTGGCCGCTCACGCTGGCTGTTGGCCACACACGGTAGCCCATGGCAATCCACTGCCACAGGGACTGCAGCCCACGCCGTCGCCGGCGACTCATGGCAGCCCAGCTCCAGGTTGAGCTGTTGTTCAGCATCTTAGCTGAGGGCAGTGTCACTGGCCCTCATATGTGGGATCCGAACCGGGGCCCTCTGGCATCCCAAGCGAGTTCTTAACCATCGCGCCACTCGGCCGGCCCAGTAGAACATTTTTTAAAAAATGGTCTGTCTCTAGCTTCATGCCAGGTTGCTCCTCCTTCCACACACACTCTATGCTGCGGCCACAGGCTTTCCACCACAGACCCCGAACACACCATGACCTGTGTCAGCAAAGTCTCTCTCCTCGCTTCCCCATTGCCCCACACACCTGGTAAGGACTAGTTCTCCACCAGGAAGCCTTCACAGACTCCCTCTGACACTTAGTGGGCCTTTCTCTGCTTTACAGAACACTCTGAGGGCAGTCACCACACGGCACCGCCATTGTCTGTATCCTTCAATGGAGTCATTCTGGTCTTTGCGTCTAGTCTACATTCTTTCTGGTGCTGCAAAAGACCAGTAGAGCGTGGTGCGATCAACATTTAACACGTATATGTTGACTTATTCTGTCAAAACACTGTGCCAGAATTCCCAAAGTACGACAGCCCAAGATGTAAGACTACTCTACCCTAGTTACAGCCATCATTATGCAAAAATGCACTGGTCTTCGGGCCAGGGCCAAAGAATACATTCATTTAAAAGTGAACGCGCACTTTGAACAATAGCTCGCTTCTACCTCAGCAGTTCAGAGTCATCAACTACTCCCTCCTGAGTATACCAAGCTCCTTGTGCTCCACGATACCCAGAAATCTCCCATGTTTGACGCCGAAGCTTGTTTTCATTATGTAACTGTTTCCTGATCTGCTCTTTCACTTTTCCACGTTCGATCGGCTGCTCTGCCCAATGCAGTTTCTTCCTTTTCTTAATAAGTTCCAGCAGCCATTCTGTCCAACTACGCAGACAGATGCTGCCATAAAATATTACCTCCCTCAAACTCCAAGTGTTAACTTCTCTAAGAGAATACTGCAAATGCGGAGCCAATTTTCCATCGAAAAAGACAATGTGGTTACAAAGTAACTTAAACCTAACAAAAGCTACCCACTAGTCACTCCTTCAGAAGAGGACTATCCTTAGCCTGTCTTCCCACCAGCCCTCTCCAAGCCAGTTCTGAAAATTTAAGCAGAGCATCCCTATGCCTGCACCTGCTGGTTGTCTGGGTAAACGCTCCCTGAGGGCAGGGGTGGGGTTCACCTGGTCCACCACAGCACCCCTAGAGCCTGGGATGGTGGCTGGCATACAATGGACCCGAAATAACGACCCGCTGAATGAACCAACGGGGATGTAAGTTGGGTTACCAAAAAACCCAAGGTCGGAGGCTTATCAAGGTGCATTATAGCTGAGTGTGAGAAAGTATAAAAAGCCTTACAGCTCAGGAGACACTGGTGACAAGGGGCTACATGCTGGGATCTGGGCTTGGGGATTTCCCAGAACTCCTTTCCTTAAAGTTTACAAGAAGTTGACTACAAAGAGGCAGTCAACCCCAAGTGCAACTGATCGCTGCAGCAGCGAAGTGCACTCCAACAAAATGTGCACCCAGGCTGGTCCCCCACACTCTGCCAACAGATGGAACAGAAGCAGCAGCAGGGCAAATTCCTGAATCTCAGTGAGAAAGAACAAAGACCAGGGAAGAGAAATGGAAGTGGAGCATGTGGGCAAGGACAGCCGGGGCTAGCCTTTCTGGAAAAGTAGCGCCTGCCAGGCACTGTGTTTAGCACTTTACTTGTACTGACCTATTTAATCCTCCACCAGCACAGAGGCAGAAACTACTGCCATCTCCATTTTACTGATGATGAAACAGAAGCTTAGAGAAGTGGTATCACCTGCCCTGAGCAGACAGCTAGCAAGGGGCAGCGCTGAGACCTGAACCCCATTCTTTAACCTGCACGACCTATTCTGCCTCCCAGGCCTTAAAACAGGACAGAGAGAGGCGTTCATGTATCTATTTAACGAACGCTTGCTGAGCACCCGCTGGGTACGTGCCAAGGCCTGGTGGGCGGAGGAAGGCACCAGGGCTGAGAGGGTCGGGAGACAGCACGCAACGTCGATCATAAGACTAAGGAGCTAGGAGCCTCGGGGCCAGCGAGCAAAAGGGATGCAAGGGTGCGGCAGAGGGGAAGGAAGGCGCGGTGGGAGGAGCGCGGGCAGGCGGGCCACGCGAGGCGGGGGGCCCGAGGATGGGGTCGGCGGGCCAGCGCAGCACAGGAGGGGTGGACGGCTGCTCCGCTCGGCCGACCGCCGCTTTGGGCCAGGCGGGAGCCTAGCGCTTCAGGTGTTATGGCAGTCAGCCTCGGCCACCCTGCGCGGGGAGACGGGAGCGGGAAAGGGGGGCAAAACGGGCAGGGCGACCCTGAGGCGCTGAGGCGAGGGAAGGGTGGCCCGGGGGAGACGTGAGCGGCGGCGGGGAGGCAGAGAAAGGGGCGCGTCGCCGGACTCACCTCCCGCGGCAGCCTCTGGGGAGTCCTCGGCCCAGCCGGGCGGGAGGAGCCGGGGATGGACTCCGGGACGCGGGGGCTGCCGGGAGCCCGTTCCCTGGGCAACCGGGCAGCCTCCCGCGCGACAGCCGACTCCGCGGGGAGCTGGAGCGACAGAGCTACAAGTGGAGGCGGGAGGGGCGAGTCGGAAGTGACGCAGCCCGGCTTCCGGCGGCGTGGGCGGGGCTTCGGGTCTCTTTCCTGGGATATCCGCGGACCTCATGGAAGGTGCGTAAGAGGGGCCAGTTTCCCGGGTTGGGGAGGTTGTGGGTGTCACGGCATGGACTGCGGGCTGGGCCTGAGGCCGGGAGCCTCCCGGGTTGAACGGGGTCCGCGCGTTGCCCCATCCCAACCCGCTGGCCCCGCGCGGGCTCTGCAGTCGGCCCGGGAGGCAGTCAGTTTTGCCGAGCCCCAAGTTTTTTTCACCTATACTCGTAGAACGAGATGCTGCCCTCAAAGAAGTGTCAACAGGTGCTGACACTCAAATTGTAATTGTCATTATAAATTAGCTTTTCCTGAACTCTTCCCCAGTGGGAATGAACCGGCCACAGAGCTTTCAGCCTGTAATAAAAGCTGTCATTCAGCGAGTGCTCACTATGTGCCACGTGAGTGTTCTGAGTGCTTTACGTGGATCAGTTCACTTGAGCCTCGCAGGGATCCCATGTAGCAATGTCAATAGATGGGGAGCCGAGGCTCAGAGGGGATAAGTAACGTAGTCACCCACTGGCCTTTACATCACTCCGCCCAGTCCTGGGAGTCTTACTGGTCTGTCGGTCCTACCAGCTTGTGAGTTTCTCGAAGTCAGAACTGGTTTTGGTTCCTAAATGTATGCTAGGTGTGAGGCAGACACATGAGAAGTCAGATGTGGTCCTCACCCTTAAGGAGCCCCGACTGGGGGAGAGCTGTTTCTCCATTTAACCCATTTTATCCACCACCTACTGTGTGCTGAGGTTATGAAAGGGAACAGGACAAGTAAGTATAGTCCCTACCCTGCTTGAAGTCTTAATGGGGAATATAGACTTTAAACAAGCAAATCCAGTACACCGGTGACTGTCATGCTAGCTGAAGTACTGGAGGTTCCGGATATCTAGTACAGTAAGTCCTAACCCACTTTGGCATTCCAGGAAGACATCTTTGTGGAATTGACTTTCTGAAAACATAAGTAAGATTATGTCACTTTCCTTCCCAGAGCCCATTGCTCACTTTCCATTGACTTGGAATAAATCCAGACTTATCTCGGCCCATAAGATTCTAGTTGCCTGACTGCCTCCCACCTTCTCCTCTTCTTCTCTGTTTCATTCTAGCCACACAGGTCTTTTCTTTTTTGAAACTCACCAAGCTCATTGTCACATTAGGGCCCAGGCTGTTGACTTCTCATTCAGGTCTCAGCCTAAATGACATCTTCTCAGGGGACCACTCTAACACAAGACCCCATTTTGTTTTCTGCATGGCATTGATGGTCTAAACTGATCATGATAATCTCATTGTCTGTTGTCCACTTCCTCTCAGGGAAGTAAGCCCCATGAAAATGGTCCTGGTCTGTCTTGTTTACTCACTTCATCCCCCACGCCTGGTGTATTGTAGGCATTCAGCTAACATTAGCTAGTTGTATAAGTAAAGAATAAATGAAAAGCCATTATGATATTTAAAAGCAGAGCCATAAATATACTAGGAGTTAACTGGGTGACTGGGAACAGACACAGGAAAAATATTTCAGATCAAAGTCAGGACTTGTAGAGAGCAAGTGAGAGAAGCTGGAGACGTGATGGACAGGACTTAGGTCACAGAGGCTGTGATGTTATGGTTTATAATAAATATTTGGTCTTTATCCCATTCCTGGCATAGAGCTTCTAAAACCCATGGGATTTCCTAAGTGGTAAGAGTGGTCAAAGTGTTCTTTTGTTATGTTACTGAGGTGACTTTTGGAATGGCCCTAGGTCACCTAAGGGTGGGTTGGGGCTGCTTGTCTGGGAACTAACCTTGTGATTAGAGGGTTGAAACTTTTAGTCCTAACCCCCAACCCCCACCTCCAGGAAGGGGAGAGGTGCTGGAGGTTCAATCAATGACCAATGATCTAATCAATCATGCCTATGTAATGCAGGCACCATAAAACTCAACAGTAAAAGGACAGGCTTCAGAGAATTTCCAGGTAGGTGAACAGGTGGGGACTCGGGGAGAGTGGAGCACTCAGGGAAAAGAGAGATCGCCCGTTCCCACACACCTTGTCCTATGCATCTCTTCCATCTGGCTGTTCCTGAGTTATATCCTTTTATAATAAACCAGTGATCTAGTAAGTAAAGTGTTTCCTGAGTTCTGTGAGCCTCTCTAACAAATTAATCAAATCCAAGGGAATGATCTTTGGAACCTCCCATCTATAACTGGTAGGTCAGAAGCTGACAACCTGGACTTGTGACTGGTGTCTAAAGTGGAAGTGGGGAAGGGCAGTTTTGTAGGACTGAGTCTTTAACCTGTGGGATCTGATGTTCTCTCCAGGTAGTTGGTGTCAGAATTGAGTTTATTGCTCGGTGGTGTTGGAAAAAACACACTGGGAGGTCCTTGTGGTAACAGATACTATGTTGGTTACTTGCCATGTGCCAGGCCCTCACAACTTTACATATATTATCTAATCTTTACATCAACTCTTTGACGTAGATCTATTTTATCCCCATTTTACAGATGAGAACATTGAGGCTCTGAGAGGTTAATTAAATTGCCCCAGGTCGCACAGCTGGCAGTGGCAGAGCTGGGATTCTAACCCAGTCAGTATGGTCTTCAGAGTCTAGACTCCAAATCGTACCGCTGTTGTGTGTGTCCTGGACTCCTGAAGCGGCCTCTTGCAGAATTTGGACTTCATCCTGTGGGCCGGGAGAAGCTTTTGAGGGTCTCTAAAAGTGGGGAAGGAGAGAGGGCACAGGAGAGCTGGGAGAGCCCAAACGGTCTGCGTTGGCTTTTGGTGGTCTGCGGGTTGCTTCCCACAGGAGCTGGAATCTGGATGAGTCTTGGAGCCTGGGCAGCACTCGCCCTAGGAAGGAAAGAACTTTCTAGCAGAAAGAACTTAATGTGCAAAAGCCTGCAGGTGACTCCACTTTTCCAGAGATGCCAGTAGTTCATTTTAGCTGGAGATTGAGGGGGGTTCCAAGTGGAACTTGAGGTAAGTGTTGAAGCAGAGAGGGAGTCAGAGGACTTTTTCCTCCGTCCTGAGCATGGAGATGATCTCAGCAGCTCTGGGGCCCAGCCTTGTCAGGGTCTTGGGATGACAAGCACTTGTGAGCCACAAAGCTCTGAACATGTGTGAGGCATCAAAGTGCCTGTGACTAGATGAGGGGAATCCTAAGGCATGGGACATTGAAGAGTTTTAGCAGAAAGTCATTACTTTACCTTCATTCCAACTTTTGAAAGTGGTCAAAGTACTTAAGGTCAAACTTCGTGGAGCCATCAAGCTGAGAAAGGATCCAACTATCTCTAGTGAGTCTCAAAATGTAATAACAATACTGTTTTTTTCTTGTTCCAGGAACCTTCCCAGTCACCCACACTTCTTAGTTTCTACGACATTTATTTGTCCAGTTGATGTAACATTTCAGATTGTTTTACTGTTGAGAATTATAAGGACATCAGCCCTCCAAATATGATCATGAATTTCATAGTAACTCTGTTTCTTTTACTGCCTGTCAGCAAAGACCCTTGGAAGTGCAACACCCAGAAAACCTGTCTTATCTGTCAGTGCGAGAAAAATTAAGGACAATGCAGCCGATTGGCATAATTTAATCCTGAAATGGGAAACGCTCAGTGATGCAGGGTTTGCTACTGCAAATAATATTGCCAACACAAAAATCAGCTTATTGTAAGTACAGGTAGAGCTCTGAGCTCTTCTCCCTTTATGATTGGGCACAAGTTTTCTGGGAGTCTTTGAGGGTGGGAAGGGTGGTTTCTGTCAACATGGATGAATTATATTAAGCAAAAAAGCAGGCAGTAAAATGATATATGCCAGTATGAACTATATATGTACATTTTAAATACAAAATTACACTACATATTGTCTGTGGTTACATCTGTATAGAAAATTGGAAAAAAAGATTGGAGGGACACAGGTCAATTCGTGATACTCGCATCTTCTAGGAAAAATGAGTGTTGGGATGGCAGGTAAATGGAACTCTGTCTTCATAATGTTGCATTTTATTTTGTGATACTGTGATACATAATAAGAAATATCTATTTGGTCTTTATCCCTGTTCCTAACACAGCTCCCAAAACCCTTACATTGGGTTGTCGGAAAAGTCATGACGTACTTTTTCTGTTTTTCGTTGCAAAGATGCGTCATGACTTTTCCGACAACCCAATAGTATTCTAATTGATAAGAGCAAGGGGAGAATCTTTTGTTACAGTGTTTGTATTTTTGTCCTGAAATAGCTCCAGAGTGATAAAACTGAAAAAGGTGTCTTGTTACTCAAAACAAGCCCCTTTCAACCACACCTGAGTTTATATTAATAAGGTGACTTTTGGGAAGCCCCTAAGGATGGAGGCAGGTTACCAGGGGAACCAACCAAGCCATCAGAGGACTGGAACTTTCAGGACCATCCCGTCACTCCCTTCCTCTCAGGAAGGTGAGGGACTGGAGCTTGAATTCATCACCAGTGGGCAATGATTCACTCAACCATGCCTACGTAATGAAGCCTCCACAAAAACCCAAGGGATGGGGTTCCGAGAGCTCGTGGGTTAGTAAACAAGAACGCTTCCATGTGCTGGAAGGGTGTCCCCAAACTCCGCAGGGACAGAAATGGCTTGCTTGGGACCCATCTGGACCTTGGCCTGTGCACCTCTTCATCTGACTGTTGTTTCATATTCTTTAATATCTTTGGTAATAAACTGGTAATAAGTAAACTTTTCCAGAGTTCTGTGAGTCCCTCTAGCAAATTAATCAAACTGAAGGAGGGGGTCATGGGACCCTCTGATACATAGCCTGCCGGTCAAAGTACAGTAACGACCTGGACTCCTATTGACTTCTGAAGTAGGGGGTGGGAGGGTCAGTCCTGGGGACTGAGCCCTTCACCTGTGGGAGCTGATGCCATCTCCAGGTAGTTAGTGTCAGAATTGAGTGAAATTGTAGGACCTCCAGCTGGTGTCTGGAGAATCAGAATTGCTTGGTGTGGAGAAACCTCTCCCCCACCTTTGGTGGTGACCAGGTGTCAGAAGTGGAATAGAGTGTTGAGAGTAGAGGAGATGCAGGTGTGTTTTTCCTTAGCAATGTCTTTAAAAAAAGACAGAGGAATTATGAAGGAAACTGGTAGTGGTTGCCAATTCTGATTAGAGGGTTTGCTTTATGACTCTTTGCACATATATATATATATATATATATATATATATATATATATATATATATTTTTTAATTTCTTTTTGTTATTATATATACGTATCCTCCAGCTTACCTTTGTCGACAGGCCAGAATCTAGAGTCTTCCTGGCCCATCCCCAGGCTCTTGCCAGCTTTTTCAAACACATCATGTTCTGCAGGCCTCTACTGCCTTTTCCTGGTGGAATCCTGCTCAGCAAGTTCCCTGAGATGCGCTGATATTTTCTATTCTGTTTCAATGTTTAATTTTTTCCTTAAGTGTTGATTGTGACCCCACTAGATTAATATCATGCCCCCTGGGTTACAGCCTTCAGTTTACAAAGCGCGTTCATGTCTTGGTCATCTTTGTTGCCCAGCCCTATGCCGAGGATGTCAGAGGGCCGAATTTAACTGACTGGCTCTAGTGCAAAATTGAGTAACTGATGGATAGATCACTATGTATGCAAATAAGCAAACATGTTTAATGACACAAAACAACACCTGTGCCGATTGTCTGCCGTGATTATTGGGTTTCCTGGGGTTTATCACAACTGAATGCCGTGAGCTTACAGGATGTATTTCATCCCCACTCTTTCGTGTCATCCAGGAGCAAATACAAGATGGAATTGGAGAGCAGCAGCCCAGCTTCTGATGAAAATACAGAAAAAGTGCACCCGGAATACAGTAAGGAACTCGAGATGCTGTGTGAGGAGCTACAGGCCACCTTAGACGGTTTGGTAAGAGCCAGGGACCCAGCCACCTGTGCCCACTGTCCCTGACCCCTGGGGCGTAGTTGCTTGGCTCTGGCTGCATTTGACACTGTGAGTGGCCTTTCCTTCTCCACATGTTGGTTTTTCCCTCCTCGGCCTCCTCTGTTGGTCCCTCTTCCTCTGCCTGTTCCATAAGACTTGGTGTCCCCCAAGATGTGGTCCTAGAACTTTTTTCTTTTGATCCTGTGTGTTGTCCGACAGTTTCACCCCCTTCCAGGGCTCCGCAGTAAATCCATTCAGGCGCTGTGGGCCCTGCATCTCTCTTGTATCCGCTCAGGTCGGCCAGGTGTGGCTGAAGGTGAAAGCAGCCAGAGACAACATGCAGGCGAACAGCTGTGGCTGTGTCCCAGCAAAACTTCAATTATGGACACTGAAATTTTATGAATTTTCATATGCCACATTCCTTTTTTGATTTTTTTTTTCTTAAACTATTTTAAAAGTGTAAAACCCACTCTTAGCTTGCTAGCCAAACAAAAATGGGCTATGGGCTGGATTTGGCCTGTGGGCCCTGCTCTAGCAGGTAAGAGATACTCTTAAATGATTGTTTAGTGAACCAATAGCTGGATTTCACTCTCCATCTGGCTGGCCACAGTGTGGGTAGCACACCTCACCTCTGCACAGAAATAAGGTTCTGTACATAGTTGAACTTGGATAACTGAAGCTCACCCGTGAACATAAATTCTTTATATTTTCACCTTTTTTTTCTTTCTTTTTTTTTTTTTAATTGGGGAATTGAGGGAGGAGAACAGTGTTGGGGAATTGGGGAAGGAGACCAGCCAAGTTGTTGGTCTTCAATCTTTGTTGTGGAGGGCGCCAGTCACCATCTGGCTGCCCATTGGCAGCTCGTGGCCTCTAAGCTCAAGGTACTGTGTTACAATCTTAGTTGCAGGTGGGCATAGCCACCATCCCATGTGGGAGTCAAACCAGCAGTCTTGTTGTTAGGAGCGCACGCTCTATCCACTGAACCACACGGGCGGCATTTCAGCTCAAGGTGCCGAGTTCAGTCTTAGTTGCGGGCAGGTGTAGCCACCATCCTATGCGGGAGTCAAACCTGGCAGCCTTGTTGTTAAGAGCGCTTACTCTATCCACTGAACCATCCTGCCACCTGTTGGCAGCTCAGCGACAGCTCAGCTCGGGCGCAGCATCACTGACCCATGTGGGAATCAAACCGGCAGCCCTGTTGCTCAGGGCTCACGCTCTTAAGCTAATTCTTAACCAACTGAGCCACTCAGCCAGCCTATTTTCACCTTTTTTGATAGAAATGTTTCTACTGCTTTATATGCTTCCTTGCCTTTTTAAACAGAATATGTGAAATATGATTGTATTTCTTCAAAATACCACTTAATTCAAATTTAGGATTCCACCTATTATAAGGCAGACTTACAGGCTTAAGAGCTTCAGGATTGAACACTACCCTTTTAAATATCACAACACTCATAAGGTGCATAATGGTTTCATAAACACTAAAAGTTGATGGTGCTTTGAGGACATTTTGGTAATTTCGCCTTCTCTTTGTGATTGAAACGCAGTACTATCTTCAGGATAATTTGATGTGTGCGAGGCTTTAGTCTCCTCTAAATAAACAATGAGGTTTTTGTAATTGTCCTGTGTGTTTTGTGATTCTGCCTTCCCTTTCGCTTTGTGGTGCTGCTAAGAGACACTTGCCCGCATGGCCCAACTCCCTCCACTTGGTGCACATAACAGGGCAGCATTGTCATCAGAAACCTCAGGTTAAGTCCCTCCTCACGGGAAGGCAGGAGGACCAGGTGTGTGGGCTCTGTGATACCTGTTTGTTTTGCTTTATCTCCATATTCACAGTGTCTCTGGTAGGTGAGTTCTACACATGGACTCTTGACCCATGGGGATTAACATTGGCAGAATAAGCAACTGAAATGTGCATGGTAATAACCTATTGAAAACTGGCCACTTGTATTATTTTGTTGGTTTATTTTTTCCCAAATTGACACATTCGAATATGGCAAGTATTTTTGTTTAGCCAAAATGCAGGTACACACATTGTTCCTGAAGGAGAAGAAACTGATGGCTAAGTTCCTGTATTGAAATAATTTAAACAGCCAACAAAGCTGAATCCCCACTGCTTGGTGGTCAATTACACTCAGCACTAATTGCCTCATCATTTGTCATTTTCATGTGTCACCAGATGCCACCAGAACCTCTCCATTCTTGACCTGTGTCACTTTATGGTATAAAACATTTCACATTATCCCAAAATTGTGTTAGAATGAAAAATACTTTTGACACATATTAATGTGACTTTTATAAAATGTTAAAAAACCCTGGGAAGGATTTTGTTCTTAAATGCCATTGGCTTTTTTTAGATCACACAGTCTCATTTCTAACTCTATACACATGCACACCACGTGAGGAAAAGGGTTTCGGAGGGGAGTCTGATGGGAAGAGGGGGCATGCCTTTCATTTAGACGTGTCAGGAGGGACTGATGGGTTGGCTTTGCTTGGCCATCCCTGGTTCCCACCGTTCTTAAGTGGCGGTCTGATCTCATGGGACTCCTTCCTTAGCCCTCCTGAGCTGCATGCGGAGATACAGCCTGGAGGATGTCAGAAGGTAGAGTCAGGTCCAGAAAGGCCATCCGTGGGCTCGATGGACTCCAACAGTGGCAAGTGCCCCACAGCCCAGGTCCTGGGTGAGGGCGCCGTGGTCTGGCCTGAAAGCAGCCCCTGGGTTTTAGGTGACCGCATGCTCATGGTGAGCCAAGTTTCCGAGATCTCCAGATAAAGTCTAGGCTGAGTCGGGCCGTCCGAGTGGCTCAGTTGGTTAAGAGTTGGCTTAAGAGCATGAGCTCTGAGCAACAGGGCTGCCAGTTCGATTCCCACATGGGCCAGGGACGCTGCACTCAAGCTGAGCTGTCGCTGAGCTGCCAACAGGTGGCAGGATGGCTCAGTTGGTGTAAAAATAAGATTGCCTGTTCTATGGTGGGCTACACCCACCTGCAACTAAGACTGAACTTGGCATCTTGAGCTGAGCTGCCGCCCGGATGACTCAGTGGATAGAGTGTGTGCTCCTAAAAACAAGGCTGCTCATTCGACTCCCGCATGGGATGGTGGCTACGCCCACCCCCAGCTAAGACAACTCAGCTCCTTGAGCTTAGAGGCCACAAGCTGCCAACGGGGAGCCAGATGGCGACTGGCGCGCTCCACAACGAAGATTGAAGAACAACAACTTCGCTGGTCCCCATCCCCAGTTCCCCAACACTGTACCCCTCCCCCAATTCCCCAATAAAACCTTTAAAAAAAAAGTCTCGGCTGAGTCAATGAGAGCCAAGAAATGAGGGCTCCCCACCCCCATCAACATGGGCAGAGATTGTATAGGTACATGTACAGAGGGGCTGATGGGGACCAGGGTGGGGGGCGGGGAAGCAGACCATGTGCCCCATTGTTGGAAATGTGTCCCCCGCAAAGGCTGACCAATTACTTGATGGGTTTATTACAAAGATCATCGAGGAATTAATCCCGCATGGAACTATTGTAGACTGGTGCCCACACATTTTGTCCGTTCTTAGATGCACCTCACAATTGTAGCACATCTGATGCTCTTATTGCTTAGTATTTGCTATAATACAATGAAAACCATCCTTTAGGAATGTTAGCTGAATACTGCTTCTCTTGTCAGTTTTAAGCCCGGGGCTTCCTCCCATCTTTAAAAAGGGAAGTGTTATTTCTTAAAAAGCCAAGTGTTAGTGAGATGGAGAGGTATAGTGGGAACCAGAACTGGAAGACAAGGAACGAGGCAGGAAGTACTGTCTTACCCTGGGCTCAGGGCTACTAATGCCACTGGCCGAGTGCCACCTAAACACCACCAGGCCCCCCGCCTGTGGCCCGCACTGGGAAAACGTGGGCCCCACGTTCTCCCTAACCCACAGGTGCCTGCTCCAGTGCATGTATGTGTCTTTTAAATGAGCAGAGTTTATTTTAGGACAATTTTAGATTTACAGAAAGGTAGAGCAGAGAATACAGTGACCACAAGCTCTCCCAGCCCACACCGTCATAAGTTAGTATGTTTCATGCATTACTGTCACGGATTACATACATTCATGTAGCGCATACGTTGTAATTAAGGAACCAACATTGATACGTTGTTAGTAACTGAAGACTGTAGTTCCTTCAGATTTTCTTCACTTTTCCCTCACGTCCTCTCTATGCCAGGATCCCATCCAGGATAGCACAGAAAATTGTCTCCATGTCTCCTCAGGCCCCTCTTGGCTGTGACAGTTTCTCAGACTTGTCTTTGATGACGGTTGTCAGGGATTTTGTAGATTGGCCCTTGACTGGGAACTGCCTGGTGTTTTTCTCATGATTTGACTTGGGTTGTGGGTTTTTCAGAGGAAAACCACAGATGTGAAATGCACTTCTCATCACATCATGTGAAGGGCACGTCCTGTCAACATGCCGTGTCACCGTGGATGTGACCTTGATGACGTGGTTGAGGTGTCTGTCAGGTTCTTCCCTCTTGGAAGGAAGTCGCTGCCACCCACACTTGAAGAGTGGGGAGTTGTCCCCCTCCCTGAGGGTGGGCGTCTACAGTTACTTGGATTCTTCTGCAGGAGAGCTGTCTCTTCTCCATTTACTCATTAATTTCTAGCAGTATGGACTCTCGGTTATTTATCTTATATTTCGAGTTACAGTCCAGTCCTGTTGTATTTTGTTCCCCAAATTGCTCCTGCTTTGGCCACTGGGGGTTCAGGTGGCTTCTATGTCCCTTTGACGGTCCCATTGGTTTTTTTTTTTAACACTTTCTGGCCTTAAAAGGTGCTCTAGGCTCATGTGTGTGCTTCCTGCCTCGGCCCTAGAATCTTCCACTTCTCCAAGGAGCCAGTTCCTTTTACTGGAGATGGTGTTAGAGCCCAACGCTTGGGTGCTGTCTGTCTGTCTGCACCACGAATCTGTTCTCTTATAAAACGGTTTGAAAGAAGTTCTGTTTTTGTTCAATACCAAAAGCTGATGTTATAAGGACATCAATGTTGTTTTTTCTATTTCCCTCCAGCCTTTAGAAAGAATGGTTTCCCAGACTTGGCTTTAAGCATCTTTAATGAATTTGACCTCGGTGGGGTCAAGAGACGCGTCTTAGTTGAGCTGAGAGCGTGGGTCAGTGCAGGGCTGCACACGTGTGTGTCACAAGCATCGCCATTGACGGACGAGCTCCAGGGTCCAGCAGGGACCTCGGGCCTAGCGTCAAGCCTCCAGGACTTCCTTCTCTTCGATTTAGTGGCATCAAGGAGCTGCTGCCAGGGGGAGAGGGCAGAACACTGGGTGTCAAGAGACCTGGGGTCAGAAAGCGTGGTATTAAATCCTCGTCTTGTCCCTCTTGAGCTCAGCAACCTTGAAAATTTTCCAGCTGTGAGACAGAAAGGATGAGTCCTGCCTCTTGGGGTTGGGCCAAGTGAAATATCGACCCTAAAAAGATCAGGAAAGGAGTATAGTTCTTTAAAAATTAATGTTAGCTAAATTTACTGCGAGCCACTGCAGATGTACAATATTTGGAGGGTGGCGGGAGGACCAAGTGCAAGGAATTAAGATTTTGATGATTTACATGTCTTCTCCTATTCCCCCATGTACATAAAGTTAACTGTACTTAGGAGTTAGAAATGTGGACTTGGAGACCTGTGCTACCTACACCAGAAATCTTAGTTACTTCACCCATTTGTTTTACTTCACACAAGCCCTTCTATAGCTCCAGCTCGGTGCTTCACAGTGAACTTGTCCTCCTAACCAACACCCCCCGCCCGCCCCGCCCAAGGAAAACAAGGGCTTTGTCAGACCCACTGCACGGGCCCCTCCCACGGTTCAGTGGGGATGGTGTTGGCATCTACTGTACAACCGCCTTGCAGGTGGTCCAACTACCTCGTCAAGGTCAAGTTCTTATCAGTTCCTTCCTGTGTGAAGTATGTGGGGCTGCCTTTCATTATTAGCATTTTATAAACAAGGAAACAGAGCCTCAGAGGCTTCAGGAAACTCACAGGCAGCTGGTAAAAGTCAGAAATGAGCTGATTTAATGCCTCTTGTGTCTTTCACCCCGTAGAAGCAGGAGAGTGCCCTGATGGCCCCCTCCCCCCGCCCCCCCAATCTTTGGTGCTAAAAACTTAGTGCTGTTGGGAAATGCTAGTGAGGTGTGACACGGCACACTTCCTCTCCAGGACTGGAAATCGGGGTTTTATTACTGAAGTAATCCAAACTGATGAAATCGTCGCAACTGTCCGCCTCCATCTCCCTAGAAATTTGCTGTACGTGGAGTTAACAGTGATGAATTATTGGACTTTTGGTCTCAACAGACTTACATTTCTTAGCTTTGAAATCTTAAAAGTTATTGAATCTGAGACTGGAGTAGATTTCAAATCATATTCTCATATCCCCAATTAATATCTTTTCAGACCAAAATACAGGTGAAAATGGAAAAGCTGTCTTCAACTACCAAGGGAGTTTGTGAACTGGAAAATTACCATTATGGGCAGGAGAGCAAACAGCTCCCCCTGTTTCACACGTGGCCCACAGCCCATTTTTGTAAGTAGTTCTTTCTGCATTGATTTCCAAGGGTAGATTAGGAGAGCTTTTGGTGTCATTTAGATCTGGTACGCTGAGAAGCTGACAGGCTTTGAAATTTAACTCAAAAGGACCCATTCAAAGGGAAGGAGCTGGGGGCACCTTACAATGAGCATTTCTTCTTAGCTTTACTCACCTAATAATCAGCAGAGAATATTAAAAACATGATTAGAGACCCAGGAAGCTAGTTGCCATTGTTAGCTGTTTAAGACCGGTGGGTAGAATAAGGCCCCCCCTCCTTTTTTGTTTTTTTCTTCTAAGAAAGATGGGATTTTTTTCTTTTTGTTTTGTTTTAATTAACCTCGGTACTGTTGCTGATTCTGGTGTTGGGCGAGGAGCTTTTAAAGGTGGTGGGTCCTCCCCAGTCAGGAGCACTTCCTTAGTTACTGCCATTCAGGAGACTCACCTTCTTTCAGATGAGGTTTCCCGCCAGCTCTCTGACATGTACGGGAAGGAGCTCCGCCTGAAGCGCACCATCACTGAAGAGCTCGCACACACCACGGACCACGATCTCACCCTGAGCTACCTGTCGCTGTGGCTGCACCAGCCCTACGTGGAGAGTGACAGCAAGCTGCTTCTGGAAAGCATGCTGCTCGAAACAGGGCACCGAGCACTGTGACCTCCCAATACAGCCTCACGTGTGTTCTCCAGGCCCTGGACCACTGGCCTCTGCAGCCCCCCGGGGGACAGTCTTCCATGCAGGACCCAGTGCCGTCCCCAGCATCGTGCCCCATGCTCTGGTGTGGTCACCCACCGACCTCCATGGGTCTTCCAGACTGGACCGTCTCACCAGCTCCCTGCGGCCTCTCCAGACACACTTGGAACTGCTGTGTACCACCTGCCACTCAGCAGCATCTGCACCCGCTGTGAACCTGTCACCCATGAGGACATCTGTGTGAATTAAATGAGGTCCTCAACAGAATGATGGCGTGATCTTGTTTCTGTAAATCCGATGTATTTTACATAGATTACATTTGTGTAGAGAATTCCTGGTTTAGTATTTTTATCTTATACAGATCTGTATTATTTAAATTTGTATGAGACTATATTAATTTTGTAATCGCAGCTAATGTTTGAAGTACCATAGAGTTAACTGGGTAAAGATGGTATCATGGAAATGAAACTACCTACAAAAACCTGCCTCTGTTTCCACACTGAGGATGCGACAGGCCAAGTGAAGGATCTCCCGTGTCACTCTTCTAGCATAAATCTTATAGTTCGAGAGTATTGGCAACCAAATATCGACGGGGTCACTTCTGCCACTGGTCCCCAGAAACAGAAATCTAAGAAACTTTCTGCTATGGATTGTGGGATGTAGCGTCGGAAACTGAAGCTCTAGGGTCCCAGGAACAAGTGCTCCCCAGGGAAAGAAAAGAAAATATGCCTAAAAGAAAAGACTTCATGTATGACAGGGATGTATTTTGAGAAAAAGTTAAGATATCTCACTGTGCAAGGTGACATATCAAAAGCATTTAAAGGCACATTTCTTAGAGTTTCTGTTCCCTCTGCCTTTGCAGTATTTGTTAAAATGCAGCCATCATAAAAGTAGCCATTGTACATCTTGTGGGCTGCACACTGCACGGTTAGCATTTGGCAGGAATGTGTCCTGCGCGCTCCCCTGCTTGCTTTGGAAGCGGGCTGTCAGGAGCTGCAGGGGCAGATGGAAGGGCCCCCGGAGGCCCGAGGTTCATCAGCAGTCAGTTTTATGGTTGGGGGGCATTTAGAGAATAAACGCTCTTCAGAGAAGACACTGAAGGATTTCCAGGCCTTTCTGGGCCATTTCCTGTTTCTTGATGCCTCACTCCCCAGACACCCAAGTTGCCCAGGAGAATTAATGGAAAGGATCCATACTGCGAAGAACAAACAGAAGTGAAAGATGAAGAAACCCAGTGCCATCAGCCCAGAGATCCGTCACAAAACAGAAGCGGTATCAAGTTAATGGAAGAGATCTCTGGCTGTTGAATTTGCTGAGTTCCAACGTCATTACACAACTGTAGAAATCACCCACAGAACAATTTCTGTCTGAAAGAAACAATGACATCATCAGAGAACTGGTGTCGGACTTCTAACCACAGTGGCTTGATCATACAGTTATCTCCTCTGCATTGAGAAATCTCACCAAATAGGCAGTAAAAGAATATACAAATACCAAGGAAAACAAAGAACAGGATTGGGAATGGTTTGGGGATGAATTCATGATGAGTACATTTAATTAAAACAAAAACATAGCTCCAGGAAATACAAAAGCTTATACAAAAACATGAAAGGAATCACAATGTACCACACACAGCTCAGCCGTGGATATTTGCATGTCATCATAATGTGACCCAACAGTGGATCAGCCATTCGTGCTGTTCACCAATAGTCCTGAAGTCCTGCCTTCCTGGCCCATGGAAGCCCACACTTCTGGTTCCCTGTGGGTGCGTGAGACCACACAGCTGGTTCTGGTCACTGAAGTGCATTTCATTGTGGGTTTGACCTCTCCTGGAGTTCTCTCCCTGTCGCGTGGCCACCAGCAGGGCTGGAGATGTGGCTGCCCCTGCTGGGTCTCCCATCTGGCCACGACAAGACAGAGCCCTCCCACCAAGCTATGAGTGGCATATTGTGAGCAAGAAACACATACACCTTTGTGTTTTAAGCTGCTGCGGTTTTGGAGCCATTACTGCTGCCGCTCCAGACTGGCTCAATAACTTGAGCTATCTGGGAGAAGCTTTGGTGGGGACCGCTGGTTGTCCTTCACTATTGATTCTCTGCCACACTTAAGTGTAGGCTGGCACGTGGCTACCAGTTCGGGAGGAGGTGTGGCCACGTGACTGATGAGCCCATGAGCAGAGGCCATGAGTGCACCTTCCAGATCATAGCCCTTAAAAGGTGTGTGTGTGTGTGTGTGTGTGTGTGTGTGTGTGTGTGTGTGTGTGCGCGCGCGCGCGCCTCACCTCCTGGGGGATGGAGCAGACACATGAGGGCGGTGAGCCTTCTAGGACCCCTGGGAAGAGGGCCACCCTGGATCTGCACCTCCGGAGCAAAGGCACCCAACCTCCCAAATGCCCGCCAGCTCACAGTTTTACTTCAGAGGTCACAGCCTCAGTGTGTCTCCCCGCAAATTCATGTTGAAACCCTAACCCCCAAAGGTGATGGTATGAGTCGGTAGGGACTTGGGGAGTGCTAAAATCCTGAGTGTGGAGTCCTCGTGAATAGATCAATGGGTTGTATGTAAGAGAGGCTCCAGAGAGATCCCCAGTCCCTTCCGCCCTGTGTGGACACAGCGAGAAGGTGCCAGCTATGAACCAGAAAGAGAGCCTTCACCCCACCAACCATGCCGGAGCCATAACCTCCAATTTCCAGCCTCCAGAACTGTGGCTGATAAATGCTTCCTGTTGTTGATGAGATACCCAGTCTATGATGTACTGTTACAGCAGCCGAACAGACTAAGACGAGGCAAATAAAAGTCGGCCTTGCTTATGTCGCTGCTATCTGTGCTCTCTATTAAAGCCACCAGCTGCTCTCCTAGTAAGTGGAAGGTTGGGAAGTGTAGCCGTGGGGGCAGTGATGGCAGTGGGGGTGGCATGGGACGTTTTCATCTGCAAGTCAGTAAATAATGCCTGAAACTGCAGTGGTGTCAGCTTGTTATTTAGTGATGGAAACTGAAATGCTATAAGGGACAACAGCTAACAGACCCGAGGGGGTTACCCAAGAAGAGGTTGGGGAAGAAGAAATGATAAATATGTGACATGATGGAGGTGCTAGCTAACACTATGCAGGTAGTAGTCATATTGCAATATATATGTATCAAACCAACAAAAAAATAAACAGGAGCTGCTTCCTTTAAAAAAAAATCTTAGCAAATTGACACCTTAAACTACATGCATGTATAATTTTGTTAAAAATTAAAAACAGCAAACAAACTAAGCAAATGGAAAAAACCAAGGCAGTTATCTCTAGGGAAAACAAAAGCTTCCAAGAAGACGTCAGCATAGCCCACAAAGCTCAGCAATGAACAATATTCACACCTCAGTGAACGCAATGGCTTGTGACATAAGGACAACAGAAGTGTGGAGTGGGGCTGGCATGTGAGCCACGTCCTCACAGCTCACAGTAGTCCGTCCATAGATAACATCCAACATGAATAAGTCCAGAAAGCAGCATGTCACCTGAAATTAACATTAAATTACATTAAAAAAAACCACAACAGACATGGTTCAGGCACGTGGAGGAAGGTGGTCACCTCGGCTGAGGTCGGACCGGCTACTGATCATCAGATCCTTTGTTAGCACGTGATGTTTTAAACTATGCATATTCCCTAGATGAAGATAAAAATTGACCTTAAAAATCGAACTCAGGGCCGGCCGAGTGGCGCGATGGTTAAGAACTCGCTTGGGATGCCAGAGGGCCCCGGTTCGGATCCCACATATGAGGGCCAGTGACACT